GGAGTCCTCAGTGGCGACGCCAACGGGCTTGCTATGATGGAGCGTTGGCACATGCTCAACATGTTCTACCATATTATTGAGCTTCGGGATCGAGACGACCTCATACAAACACTGCTCGGTAACATGGACTATGCCAAGGAGAGTCACCTACGAGTCATCCTCTCCAAGGCACTCACCACTGGCTCCAAGGAGATTCGCATATTTGCGACCAGGCTACTTCGAAAATATGCGGTCGGAAACGTTCCCCTTTCCTCACAGTCGGCCACTGGCAATGCGGACTGGGTGGTCAAGCTGCTCGTCACACAGCTATACGACCCTGACGTGTCGGTATGCCAAGTAGCTGTAAAGATTCTCGAAGAGGCATGCAATCAGCGTCATTATCTCGAGTTCGTGGTCAAGTGTCGCCCTTCCCTCGATCACTTGGGCGAAATCGGTGCGCCGTTACTTTTGCGCTTTTTGTCCACTTCAGTTGGATATCATTATCTGGATGGTCTCGACTACATTACACAGGAAATGGATGACTGGTTTCTAGGTCGTAACGACGCATACGTGGGCCTTGTTGAAGCCGCGCTATCGCGTGCCTACGTCGATCAACCGCGTCGGAACAGCTTTGTCCCTGAAGATCTTGTAGATCTACAGGACATCGGACTAGTGCCTCCCCATTTCTATAGAGAACTCGCTCGGACAGCGGAAGGATGCAAGCTTCTGGAGCAGTCAGGGCACTTCAATGAGTTTGCGTGGACCATCCGCGATTTTCAGCTGGATGAAGAAGACACAGAGGCTCTTCTCAAAGTGAAAGGTTGCCTTTGGGCTGTTGGTAATGTCGGCTCCATGGAGCTCGGTGCGCCGTTCCTTGAGCCTGATATTGTCCAACATATTGTGAAGATCGCCGAAAGCGCGGAGGTTCTGACGATGAGAGGAACGGCCTTCTTTGTTTTGGGTTTAATCTCGCGCAGTCGACATGGTCTGAAGGTCTTGAGAGATTTCGGATGGGACTCTGCTCTCGACCACAAGGGAAATTCTTTGGGACTGAGTTTACCGACCGACTTCAACAAGCTCTTCTTGGTATGTCTTCAATAGCCAGTACCTGTGCGCCAGCCATTAACCATCTTACTTTTGCAGGTTGATTTCCCAAGCCATTCCCGGAACCCTGACTCGAAGCGCACGTCTCAGGAGAAATTCAAAGAAGCCGCCATGGATACGGATCCAACCAATCAAAAGATCTTGAAATTGATAGTCGATATGGGTAATACCGTGTTATCCAAGCGGGCTGCGGCAGACCTCCACAAGTAAGGAACACACCTTCTATAGTAATAACCAAATGCGACGAAAGCTAACATAGCCCGAATCTACAGTCTCAAGTCGAAACAGCCCGATTGTTTCCACCAGCCTCACCTTTTCCGCAAGACGCTCAGTATCCTGGAAAGCCACCACTTCCGACTGCCTGCACGCCGCTTTGCCTTGGACTTGTTTGACAAGAGTGTCATGCGACGCATAGTGTTAGAAGACGATTCCGATTCAGACTCGGAGGCATCGTCTTCTCAAGTATCAAGCTAGATGGGCACGCCGAGTCTCTCGCTTGTTCGAACAATCTTCCTTTTAACGAACTACCATGCGTCAAGCTAGATCCACAAGCAAGCATCCGATGACCTCACGTTTGGAAATCTTCTTTCTTAGCCACATCCCCCTTTTATTTCTGTCTTCCTGGCTATGGCGTTGGATGGTTCCGGTCATGAGCAACGAAAGGATGTTAGCATATCATGTTGTTCTGCTCTATTCTACCCTTGGTTTCCGGCTTTCTTTTTTTTTGGCCGTTGATCCGATACCTTTGTCTGTGTTTCTTCTTTATCCACCATGCTTGCATCAAATCGAGAGTTTTGCTTTCACGGGGTTTGTGGGATTCTTTTTGCATCGATGATCATCATTCAATCTTATGAGTGCCCTCTGTTCTCGTTCGTGGGTAACATTGTACTGTATATACTTAAAGATTACCATTCACCTTTTCTCTTCAAGTCCATGGAATTTTCATCAATTCATTTATGTCTAATAGCTTAGCTACATTATAAGAAAAGATAGTCTTGGCTACCAGCCATGATATCGAAGGCGCGTCCCCGAACCTCGGATGACAGCCGGAAGGAGAGAGCTCCGGAGACCAACCAGCCCAGCTCGTCTCCACCCGTCAGTCACAGTAAGTAAGCCCAACAAAACATCGATCAATCAATCAATCAATCAATCAATCAATAAATCAATCAATCAATCAATCTAAGCGCCGACCGACCAACCGACCGACCCTGGACTAGATTCTCTACCTCTTTCCTCTATATTTGCCTTCTCCTCCTCCTCTCCGATCCCCACATCTCTACATACCGCGAACCTCCATGGAAGATGCCACCATGCCCAGCCCTCCACCTCCGCATCCCAGCAACGCTGCAGCAGAAGAACAAAACGGCGATGATCACCACCACCACACGCTGAACAACAACAACAGCTCACGCGACCCGCTCCTTTCCCGATTAACCTCCGCACATTCCATCATCCGGCTTATCCAATGCCCGCGCTGCTCGTTACCGCTCCGAACCCCGCTGCGCCTGCCCTGCGGAAACACGATCTGCAAGTCATGTCTACCGCCCATTCGGCAACGGACGGGGATTACTTATCCGGCGGATGAGGAGCGGAAACAGGGGTTTACGTGCTATTGGGGAGATGGTGCGACGAGCTGCTCGGGGGAACATTGTCTGGGGGATTGCGGGACGGATGTTTTGTTGGGGAGGGTGGTGGATGTGTTTGAGGAGGTTTTGGGGAAGGGGGGTAGTGATGATGGTGCGAGGTTTTGTGATGTGAGGTGGGAGGGGAAGAGGTTGGGGGGTGAGGATGAGGTGAAAGGGACAGAGGCAGACATAGGGACAGAGAAGTGTGTTGCTAGGATTGGGTGTGGGGATTTGTTAGGGGGTGTGTATGGGTTGGTTAAGCAGGGTCGTGTTGGGTTTGGGGATGTGCTGGAGGTGGAAGGTAATACTACATTCGAGGAGGGACAAGGGCAACAACTATCCTACGAGAGATTGAAGGAGGCAGTTCGGGGAGAATTAGACTGTCAGGTCTGCTACTCGCTTATATTGGATCCGTTGACGACTTCTTGTGGACATACGTTTTGTCGCGGATGTGTGGCTATGGTTTTGAATCATAGTGATTTGTGTCCGCTGTGTCGGCGCAAGTTGAATATGGCTTCGACGGTGCGGGCTGAGCCCGTTAATAGGAGGATTTCGGACTTGGTGGAAGCTTTGTTCCCTGAGCAGGTTGAGTCGCGTCGCGAGGATTCTTCTAATGAGGATGGAGTGGCCGCTACTGGCGATGGAGAACGGACTATTCCCTTGTTCGTGAGCTCGCTTTCGTTCCCGACTATGCCGACTTTCTTGCATATATTTGAACCGCGGTATCGGACTATGATCCATAGGGTCATGCAGACGAGGGATAAGAAATTTGGTATGGTTATGTATAATCGCTCCGGTCGGCTGCAGGAAGGTTTGGGCAGGGCCCAATTCATGCAGTATGGTACGGTGCTGGTGGTGGAGCGGTTCGAGCTACTCCCCGATGGGAGAAGCTTGGTGATTGCATCAGGGGTGTCGCGCTTCAAAGTGATGAGCTTTGAGATGGTGGATGGATATCATGTTGGCAGGATTCAGCGTGTGGATGATATTGCGATAACTGAGGAGGAAAGGCTAGAGTCTTTGGAAACGTCATCAGGAACAGGGGAATCGCTATCAGCAGCGTCAACACCACCGGAGTCTCTGCCCACGCAACAGCTTTTTCAGATCGCCTTGGATTTTATCGACAAAAGCCGTCGCGAAGGAGCAGCATGGCTCCATCCGCGAGTCTTGCTAGCATATGGCGAGGCGCCTACCGATCCGGCGGTGTTTCCCTGGTGGTTCGCCTGCGTTCTGCCTCTCTGGGAGGATGAGAAGTACAAGCTTCTAGCGACGACCAGTGTCCGGGATAGACTGAAGATGGTTGTGCGGTGGGTGAGGAAGTCAGAGTCTCGAGAGTGGTAGGTAGATGATCGGCCCCTTCATCAGGGCTTTGCTTTCATATCCTTCCTGGCTGGCGCTCACATTTTCTCTTGACAAGGTTGGCTCGGCCCCGACCATCATTCGCCTCGGTCTTATGACTAGCCGTCCCTCTCCTCGTCTTCTCCCTCGTGCCAATGGTTCTGAGCCCAGCTTTGACATACCTGGCCCCGTCTGCGGGAGTCTTTACGTCGTTCACGCCATTTTCCATGTCTGTCTCCATCTCATTTGGGTCTCCTCGTCCAGTTGATCCTGATCGCCGGCAGCGGACGCAGAGTCAGGATTCAGGAGGAAGCTATATCCCACAGACTCTCGTGATGGGGATATTCTTGGCTATCTTTGCGACGCAAATGGCGATCAATGTTGTCCAAATTCGGCGAGCCAGACGGCGAGAACCACGCTGATAGATATGAACAGCGGACGACGAGAGAGATGCACGACGAGGAAGAGGGACGCCACTCATCCACGCCCAGGTACGGCTAATCCTTGAAGTATCGAAGGCGCTGTTAGTACGCGATAGCGTTCACTGGTCCTTGTACTAGTTGGCGCCCGGCCTTAGACTGCGGCAGCCATAATTTCTCCTCCAGAACGAGGAGTATAAGTATTCTCGTCCTAGCTGGTGACTGGTTGCCACAGGGACACACTAATCTCGGAAGCTACCCATCGCATCGTATAGGTGGGCTTAACGCCCATCTCGTAGAGTCCGGTGCGACTCCATGCAGGCATGGTATCCTTTCTTTGCTTCTTTATTTTTTTTTTCTATTCTTTTTCTCCTATGATCGACCGATGACAGAGTCGACGGGAACTTACAGCTTTGTGCAGATAGAGGGGTAATAGGAGGGATTGGAAGGTTTCAGGCAACTAACTCTTTGGGAATCCCTGCATGTACTTCGAACGAGCACATTGGTGGTGGAAGTGGAAGAACCAAGCCGTAGCTATCTATCTATGCATAAAGTAGGAGCGAAATGCGCCTTGCGTGCGTACCGCAGATGGTGGAGACGGCTAATTGCGAAGCCTGATAAGAGAACAATGTTGCCTAACTGGCAGGGGTAGAGAGCCTCTGAGCCAGTATCCAAGCTCTGACTTGTCCAGCGCAATGCAGTGTCGCTGCGCCCGTTTGCCGCTGAACTGCGCTGGTTGGTGGTTGGTGGCCGTTGGTCGCACAAGCGCTGCACTTGGGATTTGCGACGCCAAACCCACCCAAACGTTGCAAGATGGCGAAGGAACAGCTGCAGCTCATGCAATCCTAATCGCCCTTTCTCATGGCGTGCCTCGTTGCTTGCCTGTTCGGGCGCCCTTGAAGTCTGGTTCGCCATGCTGGTCCTGATGCGTTGGCTTGCCAGCTCCCCCGGTCGTTTTCCTTCCTTCTCTTCCTCTTCGCCTTTCCTTTCTTCATCTGCAATTGATCCGCTGTTGCATCTTATCTGCAGTCTTCTTCTTTATCACTTTGAAATATCTCCCTACGTGTGGAGCGCCCACGGTGAGTGTATCCCGACTGTATCTATAATGTACTATGTTCGTCAGCAGAGTGAAAGGTGAAGCAGGAAGAAGAAGATATGGGAGATTTCAAACCAAGACCCTTGTAGAAAAGAAAGAGAAAGAAAAGAGGAGAATGAGTAAAGAGGGAAGAATAAAAGTGTCGGGTGATCCATCGTTCTTGCAAAGTGGATGTGGAGCGACTGGGGATTGGAGATATCAACTTTCCCTTTTCTCTTCTTCTCCCCTCTACTAGTACTTCTCTACTCTTCGTTCCTTCAACCATCTCTTGCGCTGGTCTTAGCTTCTCTTCTGCATCTTCCAGGTGAAGACTGCTCAGACTAACAGCTTCTTTTTAGTATTAGCTCAATGTCTACTTCTTCAGGTAAGCTTGGCTTCAATTTGCAGTTGTCAAGCTGCTGGCGGATTGCCTGATCTTCACTAAAATCACCCCACACCCCAGATTCTCGTACTATGGCCTCGTCGACCTCATTCACAGGCCATCCAAATAGCTATATACCTCGAAGGTGAGTACCTCATACTCGAGTTCCATTATATGCTCACTGAGATATGTACTCGTCCGACTGACTGGTTTCTATAAACAGACCATATGCTGTGAGTCCCCTCAACTGCTCGCTTAGAATCTCATCAATGCGAGCTGATCTGATGATTTCACCATGATACAGCAACTTCCAAGCTATAGAAGTACCCCGTCAAACGCAGAAACCGTCACCATCCCCCGCTCGGAATATGATCGTCTGGTGAGTACAATGTGACAGGTCCAAAATGGCCCCTCACTGACCAGTGACACTTCGCAGCTCCAAGACTCGCAACATTTTGGTATGCGACCGCCTCTCATATACCTGATATCTCTGCAGCTGACATTATCACTCCAGCTAAATTAAGAACCTCACTCCTCAATGGAGGGTTGTCCCAGGAAACTCTTGATGTCAGCACACGCCCACTGATTGGCGTACATTTACTAACAGATATAGGTCTTAATCTACGGGGCTGCTCAGCAGCCTTCTCACCAAACTAGCCGCGAAAATAGCTCTCAGAGCCCAGCGAAATCGCATGCGGCGTTCGAGAACAAGGCTCCTGGTTGTCATGAACACTTAGACGTGAAAGTCCATGACCCTGAAGAAATCGACGTTGGTGAAGATGAGGACGAAGACGAAGACGCTCTCCTGGATTCCCATGACAGCGAAGACAAGGATGACTTTGATGAGTCTTCCAGAAGTGCAGGATCTTCTCCTACCCCAAGCGCCCAACGTACCGTGCTAATTCGGAATCTTCCCGACCGTATCACGCACAGAGACATCGTCGCAGCCATGAGGGGCGGAGCCCTGCTGCACATCTATTTACGTACGCGGGAACACATGGCCAGTGTGTCTTTTGTCGAGGAAGCGGCCGCTCGTGAATTCTTCCGGACTGCGAAGACCTACGGTCTCATTGTTGCTGGGAAGCGCGTAAGTGCCCAATTCGGCAAACGGTAGCACCGCTAATAGATACTATAGGTGGAAGTGGGTTGGAATGACAGACAGTTCTACCTTCCTCCCTATGTCCGGGCCAAAATTGACAATGGAGCATCGCGCAATCTAGTCCTCTACAATGTACAGCCGAACGTCACGGAGTGGGTCATCCGGAAGGATCTGGACCATATCCACAACCTAATCGTGATCTCCGTACAATTCAAGAATGGCAATGCCTACATCTCCACCAATTCAGTGCATAATGCGCTCTTTGCACGCTCCTGCATGATGTCTCGGTTCACGTACAAGGGCATGAAAATTGGGTTCTATCCGGACGAGTGTTTAGGTACCTCGGGGAAGTACCCCAAGAAAGAACCACAAGCACCGGCAAAGAAAACCGGCTCCGTGCCCAATCGTTTTCAACTTCTGTCCCTGGATGGAGCCGACGATGAGGACGACCATACGAGCCATGACGGACTGGGAAGGATGAACAATGGAATGCGATGGGCTGATAATAGCGTTACCGCCTGAGTTGTCACCTCTCGTCTCTTTTTTTCCTTTGTACTTTCTTTGAAGTGCTGTGCTACCAAATAGTCGAGCAGCACATTCCCTTTAGGCGAAACCAGTCATCAAATCTGGGGGAACTGGTGCTAGTAGGGTAGTACGTTGCGTGGAAGGGATCTGGTTTAACGGAACGGAATGATCGATCAGGCTGGACGGGCGAAGATGGCGGATAGGCGACGGCGAGTGGGGTGAAAATGAATCGAGATGGCGGGTGATCTACGAGGGGGATGGCCAGACTGATTGCCAGATGCTATTACTTACCATAGCCAGCGTATTTCAGTCATCTAAAACGGTTTATCCGTTAAGAGAACGTGCGTTTGTATGCTAATACAACGCACGGACGTCCAATACAACCTTTTATAGTGACAGGGCTGACGACAAAAAAAGAAATTGGGTGATATTTAAGATAGTCCAGGCTTATACTAAATAACAGCCTAAGACCGGGGCCAGCATTGCACCATAATTTCCAAACACAGCCACTGTAAACAACCCAAACCATCCTCTTTATTTGATTGAATTGTCTGCAGTGGTGGAATGGGACCACCACACCAGATCTCTCTCTTCTTCTCTCCCTCACCCCAATAAGTACAACCGTTAAAACGACAAACAGCAACAACAACACCATCCCGCATGATATCCCGTTTTCTGCCTCACACAAACAAAACCCTTCATAACCCGGCCATAATCATAAGAGGGGAAACGTTATAGGAAAACTTTTTTTTTAAAACCGATCCGAGCCAAGCAAGCAAAAACTCGAACCGTAAAAGGTGGGGGGAAGCATAACAGCCGGGAAAGTAAGGTTTTTGTCCCCCAAATCCATGGTTTAAATTCCTTTCTTTCGAAAACGGAACGGAATGAGAAACAAAAAGGAATGAGAACAGAAAAACAGGCAGAGGCGGAGCAAGCTTGTATGTGTGTATATTGTTGATGTAATAATGAAGCCGTTTAACGGTAGGACTTCTGGTAGCGAGCGCGGGCACCACGACCACCGAACTTCTTGGGCTCCGTACGACGGTTGTCGGCGACGAGGAGTGTGCGGTCGTACTGGACAAGAGCCTGCTTCAGCTGGTTCTTGGAGTGCTCATCGACGTACTTCTGGTAGTAGGCGACGATGGACTTGGCGATGGCCTGACGGATGGCGTAAACCTGGGAGGTGTGACCACCACCGGAGACACGGACACGGATGTCGACACCGGCGAACTTGTCGGCTCCAACGATCAGGAGGGGCTCGTAGACCTATTCCAATTTCGCGTGTTAATTCGATCCGTCATTGCCACTTCGTAGAAGAAATCCCGACAGGTGAGTATGTACCTTGAAGCGGAGGATCTCAGGCTGGACCAGAGAGAGGGGCTGGCCGTTGACCCGGATCATGCCCTTGCCTTGCTGTAGTTGGAAGAAACGAATCAGTTTTGACGCTCTTCTTATTCTTCTTCTTTCTGTCGCAGTTTTGGTTCATCTGATATATTGCGGTGCGGATGCAGATGTGTCGTTCGAGTTTGGTTGCGCATGTCCTTCTTCCTTTTTCTCCCCTTTAGGTATTTCGTCTTCCTTCAGATTTGCATATTCGTGTCGTTCAATTATTTTTCGATACTCGATATCAGATCCTTCGCGTTTCCATGCATTCCATGTTCCTTAACCCTTAATGTCGAATAGATACCCAAGCTTCCTTCAACCTTCCAAACCCAAGTATTGACCAATATCGAACGACACATCGGCATCCGCAAACACGATAAATCCTAGACCAGCAGGAAGGTGACAGATAGACAGAGAACGTTATTCTCATACCTTGCAGTGGGCGACAGCGGTGGCTAAAAAATCACATCAACCATTAGCATCCCATGCTACCTTCAACAAATCATCCCAACATCCCGAACCCTCCCCCAATCTTCAAATTCCACCTAATCCATTTATATATCAAAAACAAGAGGAAAACTCACCCGTCTTCTTCTTGCCGAAGCATTGCACACTCGGGACGGAAGCCATGATGGGGAGGCGGCGAAGTGTGCTGGGTGGTGGGAAGTAAGGTAGACGGTGTCGGGGTCGTGGAGTATTTGTCGTCGATTAACGGAGTCGCGCTGTATTAATTTTCGCTTCGCACAGTCAGGCGGTGCGATTTCTTCTTTGGGGCTTGTGGTTTTGCTGACTGTCCAATTCTTGGTCTCTCGCTTAGTGCGCGGCGCTAGGCCGCTTTGGGACCTTGAGGTAGGGCTTGTCGGGGGGAGTTGGATTACATCACGTGATGGGGAAAGTTCGGACTCCCGGGATAGAGACCAGTGCCCAGGTTGTTGTAGGTATAGATTGAAGTAAGAGGCATATAGCTATAGCTATTCGTTTTACGTCAAGATGTCGCAGACTGTTGGAAAGGTATATCCCATTATTCTCCTCCCCACTATTCTCTCAATTGCATATTATTGATCCCTTCTCCCTCCCTCTCTATATCTATCTGTTTATGCTCATTGTCTAACTTTGATATCAATATGATGCTATAGACCCGTCTCGCCTTCTCCCGAACATGGCACTACGTCGACGTCGGCAGTGACCCTCGCAGTCTGGGTAGACTTGCCTCCTCTATTGCCCTCACCCTCATGGGCAAGAACAAGCCCGTCTACGACCCCTCCACCGACTGCGGTGACTATGTCGTCGCCGTCGGATGCCACGACCTCCGCGTCACCGGCAAGAAGCGCTTCCAGAAGAAGTACTACACTCACAACACCCGCCCCGGTAGTCTGCGGAGCATGACTATGGACAAGATGTTTGAGAAATGGGGCGGTGGTGAGGTTCTTCGTCGTGCTGTTCGCGGCATGTTGCCCAAGAACCGCTTGCGGGATAAGCGCTTGGCTAGGCTGAAGAGTGAGTATACCTCTGATATTAATATCAATTGGATACATATATGTCGTCTCCACCTTGGGGCTAGACTGGTATATGGTATGTCGTTTGAGGATGTATGCTAATGACGTTGTTGTATAGCTTTCGAAGGTCTCGCCCACCCCTACAAGGAGAACATTGTCAAGCTTAACGGACAGTCGGTCATCGGAAACTTGCCCGAGGTGAAGGAGGCGTTCAAGACGGCCAAGACCGATGCGTAATTGCATTTTATTGTCTGCGCATCTTGTCGACTTGCTGGATCGGATACCATTGTTACCATTTAAACCTCTTGTACTTTTACATATGTCATTGATATTGCTGTTGTCATGTTATGACTTGCTAGCGCATGGGTGGGAGTTCTGTGATTTTATTTCCTTTATCTTTATCTTTTATGTGACATATCTTGTTTATACTACTACTACTACTACTAGCTACGCTACACAATTACAACAGCTTGTGCATTGATCATGATGTATCAGAACATGTGAATGATGCTATTTATCCCTAACCTATATACAAGTGCCAGAACTCCATCTCATAACTGCTAATGCAATACTACAAATCATCCTACAGCTTCGCCTTCGTGTTGCGACCAACCGTGCACTTGATCAACCCGTTGGGGTTGGTCTGCGGCGCATACACCTCAGCGTCCTTGCCGGTGTTCTTCAGGCCCTTGTGCCAGCTCAGGTCTGTGACGAACAATGATTAGCCGGAATTCAAGACGAACGAATCTATCAAACAGATGAAATACATACCAACTTCGAAGTAGTGCTTGTTAGGCAGAGAGTACTCGACCGTCTCAAGCAAGGGCTGACGAGCCAAGATCAGCTCCGCCATCTTGTACATAGTGTTCTGGACACTGGCCGAGTTGTCCTCGGCAAAGGTCTTAAGGGTAATATCCCTGGCCGCCGACCAGGTCGCATCGAACTGAGGCACAGTAGCGCGCACCTCGTCCAGCCCGTTGAAGCGGCGCCACTGCCAGCTGGCGTCGACGTCGGTGCTGAGAATACGGTCCCATGTCTCAGGGAGGGTGGTGTACTCGTCGCGCAGGAAGCCCCAGAACTGCGAGTTGGTGCTCTTCAGCACGGTCAACTTGGCCAGAGACGAAGTGATGTCCACGCCCTTGCCCTCGACGACGTCGACCTGCACGTTGCGGGTTTCCTCGCCATCCCGGAGGAAGGAGTGCGGGTGCGGCTTGCCGTCGATGGTCATTCGGGTCCAACGGTGGGTAATGATGTTGACATGGGCGGCGTGGATGTGGTTGTACTTGGTGATGAAGTGGGATCCAAGAATGGAGCCGAAGAGCTCGGGGGGAGTGACGGGGTTTTGCTTGGCGGTGATGTAGATGGTGTTCTTGATGGAGTCGGTTGCGACAATCACGCTGTTGTCGGCCTTGGTGTAGCTGTAGGAAATGAGGGTTAGCTCTGATTTCGATTTGAAGAAGGAAAATACATACGAGGTATCGATGTCACCCTCCAAAAGGACGCAGACGGTCATCTCGACGACCGTCTGGACGCCGGTCTTCTCATCGCGGTGGACCTTGTATACTCGGACATTGTCCTTGCCGTAGCGGGCCGCAGCAACTGGGGAAGACATGGTGGGTATGGGGTAGGGAGGAGAGGAAGATGAGCAACCAAAGAAGGGTATTGACAATAAACACAGAACTGGAAGTTTCAACTGCAACAAGCCCTGTGGCAGCAGGATGAAGCTTTTTAAGACTTCTCCGGAGCCAGGGAGCAGTCGGGATGGGGAGATGGCAGCGTATCGGCCACCTCCGAAGCCCGCGGGACTTGACGGCCGCAGCCTCCCTCGCTTTATCTTATCGCCCCGGGATTCGTAACCTCTGGGGTTATGCAAACATCAGGCAATCCCGGCTGTGGTTGCCGGAGATTTGTTTGGCTAGAATGAATGTAATGGATGTAACCAAAGTGATGTGATTGGGATGGATTCATCTATGCTGCCGTCAGCGGTTACATGAAAGAGCAAGAAATGACAGCCAGACTACCAAGAAACCCTACAAATGTAGAGGAAGTATCGGACATGTGACTGCCCAGACGTCATCCACTCGAAAGAATGTCGCGACTCAACAAACAATGAATCCCCAGACTCAAGATGGTGTCCGCCATCATTGCAAGAAATGTCGGGATCTGCTGAGTTTCTCAATATAGCATATCCCGTTTCGACCCTCGACTGGCCTTCAATTGCTCTCCTACGGACCTGTCCGATACCGCGGGCCCGGCCTATTGTCCAACGGTTCAGCAATGAGAGCTATCCGGCTGAATCCTGCTGAGACCAGGACATCAAATCGACGAGCCTGAGAATACCATGTGGTTTACAAGTGAAGGTAGAGAGCGCCCGCCATGGCTTCTCAAGTACCGTTCCTCTACAGCCTTCATCATCGCGACAGTCTGGACCTCTTCGTTCACGGTATGCAGACAATCACTCTACCAGAGACACAATAGCTGACACCGGCAGGACTACTTCCTCTATGCCATGGTGAGCATCATCCATACTCACATCTATATCGCCAATTAACTCTCTAGATCGTCCCCGTCATGCCAACAGCCCTAGTCGACCGCGCGAAAATTCCCTATGAAGACCGTACGTCCACCACCACAATCACCCCAACCTAGTCTACACCTTCTGATACAAAACCAGGCGAACGCTGGGTCAGCATTCTCCTCATCTGCGAAGCCACCGTCGCATTCATCTGCTGCCCGATCTTCGGATACTTGATCGACGTTGCGCCCACGCGCAAACTCCCCTACCTGCTCGGCCTCATTCTGCTCGGGGCATCTATGCTCATCCTCTGTCTCGCACGCACCATCGGCTTCTTCGTCATCGCACGCCTATTACAAGGTAGTGCAACCGCCATGGTCGTCGTCGCTGGACTCGCTCTTCTCACCGACTCCGTCCCGTTCGAGAACCTCGGCCAGACTGTCGGATACCTAGGGTCAGCGGTTACCCTAGGGTTCCTGCTAGGTCCATTACTGGGGGGTCTGGTGTACAGAGTAGCAGGCTATCAACCCGTGTTTGCAATGGCGTTTGCCATTGTAGGATTAGACCTGGTGATGCGGTTTGCAGTGATCGAAAAGAGGGTCGCGAAGCGGTGGATGGCTTTATCGCAAGATGATGCCGACAATGACAACGAAACCAACAACCACGACAGTCCCTTTGAGTCAAGCACACCTCAACCCGAAACCACAGAGAACGAAGCAACCATCATACCCAAACACTCCCGCAAGCCCACCCTCCTACTCCTCATCCAACAGCCCCGCATCCTCATATCATCCTGGGGTCTCCTCGTCCACGGCATGATATACGCAGCCTTTGACGCCGTACGTCCCTCCCCCCACTTCCCCATCCATACACCACAAACTAACAACCCACTCACCCACTAAAAAATAACAGACAATCCCCATCTTCGTCGAATCCCACTTCAACTGGACGCCCCTAGGCGCAGGCCTAACCTTCCTCCCCTCCTCCATGACCGCTCTCTTCGAGCCCTACTTCGGTACACCCCTCCCCCATTCCCCTCCCCCCAAACCACCCATCTCACTAACCCTATCCCTCTATAACCATAGGAAAGCTAACCGACACCATAACCCCACACCCCATCGCAACAACGACCTTCCTCCTCCTCCCCATCCCACTCAGCATGCTCGCGCTCTCCACCAACCCCACAAGCACCCACATCACCCTCCTAATGATAAACCTCACCTTGACCGGCCTCCTCGTCAACATCGCCACCCCGGCCCTGTACCTCGAGACCCAGCGCGTATTGGATACCATGGAGCGCCGGGAGCCGGGGATCTTCGGGCCCAGGGGCGCAGTCGCCCAGGCGTTTGGGATTCAGACGATGGCGCAGTTCCTAGGACTGAGTTTGGGGCCGTTGGCTGGGTTCGTGGAGGGGAGGTTTGGGTGGGGGGTTGTGGTTGTGGGGTTGGGGGTGGTTTGTGCGGTGACGGGGGTGGTGGTGGGGGTTGGGTTGAGGGGGGATGCTTGTTGTGGTGGTAGTAGGTTTGGGGATGGGGATGGAGATGGGGATGATGAGGAGAGGGAGAGGTTGCTTGCTGGGGATTGAGTAGGTAGGTGAAGTAGCTATCAGGGTGATAGATTGAATTGGATTCTGGATGATGAGTGTGAGTGTAAAATTGGAAGTTTGCTTTTAGTAGGAAACCTAACTAGGTCGGTCATATGCTGATTGATACATTCGGATTTCAGATCAGATCTAACATTCATTTCATCCATCCATCTTCTCTCAAATCATACCAACTGCACCTTTTATCGAAAGACATAAGACGAGCATCACACAGCACAAGGATTGTCTTCATGTACAGTTCAAACTCAATCCAGATACACACCGGTGTGGATGTAGCGTAGCGTAGCATAGCATAGCATAGCGGAGCGGAGAAAGAAGATTCCATATCAACACCAGAAGGGAATGGATCAATCATATAATAAGAGAATCGAACCCCCCGAAAGTTAAAAGCGGTACCTTTTTTGTCTGTATTCCATTCACCGGAGGGATAGAAAGGGGGGAAAACAAAAGGAAGAAAGAAAAGAAAAGGAAAGTATAACGCCATCCAATGCCCTACTTGGACGCCAATAACCCCTAATCATGGGGGGGTGAAATTGTAATAGAGAAAAATGAAGGGAAGAAACTCCACCATAACGCTCATATCCCCAAACACCATGAATCAATAAATCAATCAATCAGTCAGTCACAGACTTAGCTGATCAATGCTTCCCACTCTACCGCTCCCACCGAGCCGACCTCCGCCCTTCGTCACCATCCCTAAACGGTAGAACCGCTCCTCCCCGCCAGGCGTTCGACCTCCGATATACCACTTCTCCGGACCCAGCGCATCGCGGAACCCTCCCGAGCCACTGGAGCTGTCGCTGCCGCGACGCTGGCGGCCTTGGCTGTTTGTGATCGGAATGGGGTTTGATGCGGCCGGAGTGGGTGGAGAAGAAGCGGCCTGCTGGGTCTGAGGTGGGGCCGGGGATGCTGGGGAAGATTCGGGTTGGTTCAATGGAGATCGCTGGTGCGAGTGAGGACGGGAGTGGGAGGAGGATGAAGCGCTTGTGGTGGAATGATGGTGGTAGTGATGGGTGGTGGTGGATGGAGAGGCATCTGATGAGGAAGCGGCTGCGTTGCCGTTGCTGGCCTTGGTGGCTATGGCTCGTGCGCCTTGGGAGATTTGGGTGGAGGAGAGAGAGGAGGATGGACCAGCGGTCGCGGATTGTGAACCTGCCGCTGAGGCTTTGTATGTGGACTGGGCGCGAAAGGCCGCTAGGAAGTTGGCCAGGAATGGCCGGTTGGTGGACATGGTGGCGAGGGGGGGAGCCACGGTGAGAGTATAGAGATGGAGGGAGTAGATTTGGACTGACAGGGGTACGCTAGTCGGATAGGACTAGGGCCTGTAGTCGGTCGCAGGTGTGTTTGCTAATATTGGTATAGAAGGTATGGGTTGCCGGTTGTGAGAAGTGGTGTGGTGAGGTGAGGGAATTGTGCGTCTTGTATATAGAGTTGGTGTCGGTGGTCGTCGGTCGAGATCGGGGCGATAGTAGCCGCGGAGTTGCGGAGTAGACGAGATCTAGACGGGGGTCTGAGAGGAGAGTGTGGATGGAGGAGAGCGACTGAGTACAAGAGTACACGAGTACACAAGCACAGACAGGACCAAAAGGAGACTGCAGGAGGGGACGGACGATCGGAGCCAGAAGGATGGAGGAGGAGGTGGACGATGACGAGAGAAACGGCGGAGGACGAGAGATTCAGAAGTTGAAACTGGAGGACCTCCGGGGAGTCCCGTGGGCGGCGGCCAATCAGCGGGGGTGGATATCAATCCGGGGGAGCCCCTCGGCGGTGACGTCTATTAATTAAGTACTGTAGACTATCAGTTACTACTTAATTATATCTACTGGTAATAGGAGGGGATGAAATAATCACTCATCACTTAGAATGTTAAGTAGTCTCTTATCTCTCATGCTTGCTACTATGTCTTTCTATCTCTATCAATCTACCCCCACTTTCTCTTTCCCCAAGTAAAGTATCGGCCTACACGTACACTTTGGCACATGCGAAACAAGAAAAAAAAAAACAAGAATCACATCACCTGCAACAAGAGTACCCGATCGCACTAACCATCCAGCACTCACCGTAGGGAAATCCCGGGATCTTCTCCAGACATCTCCGCTCCGGACCAAAGGTTGGCTTGTTCGGTCGGGAAAGTCCAGTTCCAGGCAGTCACGGGGTGTTCACATGGCCTGTCCCCTTCCGATCCCGTGAGGCTCTCTCATTAGTTACTTAGCTAGTTAGCTAGTTAGCTAGTTAGTTGACCTTAGTAAAGAGTAACTACTCAAGTAGTACTTTGTAGTACTCTGCTATTTCTCTATTACACCCCCTCCCAGATTAATTGTAAGTCATGTAAATATGGCCCTTATTATTTCTCGTTCAACTCCGAATCACTGGCTGTCTATATTCTAGCTTTTGGATTCCCGTGGCTTCCCATAAGTGACGACTTCCACCAGGCCTGATGCAGGGGGTTTTTCAATCGGCCTCCCTGGCCTCCAGACTCCAGGACCAGATACAAGAAGAAAATGCATGCGGCATCATGGATAGAACAAGTACATAACCGACGTATGGAACATCTGGGGGCTGACCAGGGGTGTGCATCCAGGCAGATCAACCAACCGCCGTCCGGAGTAACAAAAAAGAATGAAACAAGCTCCAACACAGCAGGAGTCTCCCTGACTGCGGCCAGGATCTGCAGGCAACCCAGCCGCGAAAATGTAGGAAAATCGGGCAGTCGAAAAGCACCATGCTACCTTTTTCGGTCACAAATGAAAGAGATGAAAAGAAACAGAAAAAAAAAGAATAAAGCATGAGACACGAAAGGAAACCGAAGCACATTGACACAAAAACACATTGGATAGAAACGCAGGAGGCAAATAGTAAACACAAGACGACGCAACACCTTTCATCCTAGCTCGACCTCGTATGCCCTCCATCGGACACACAGTATGTACTTATATGGTCGACTGGAAGACAACATGCGGATAGGAAACGGCCGTGACGGTTATGCAACAAATCCCGAACACACTCAACCCTCCGTGCAGCTCGAATTTGAACAGGAAAAGGGAACATGCAACGCGAAACGAAGAGTGGACGGAAGCCTTCCCCGCAAGAAATCTTTTGATGACTCGTTAAGATGAGAGAGCCCTTGACGCAACAAAAATCAAACACATGCCCAAGTCTATGATTGGACGCCAGTTAAAAAACCACACACACCATCCCATCAACCCACTCATAATGGATGGAAACAAAACAAAACAGGTCCAGAATCACCGCAAATCTGCACTCGCCGTAGAAAATGCTCACAAGATTTTTCAAATAAACAATGGACGACCAGATAACCCAGTAGGACAAAAGAAGACGTTTTCATAACAATGAGTAATCCGGATGCTGTAATCTAGACCAACGCTGTGGCGCGCTGCGCGGAGTCGGTGGCCGAAACGAGCTTTTTTCTATCTGTATTTTTTTTTCTTCCCTTCCATTTTCCGGTTCATATTTTTTTCTTTTATAGGGATAACCCTCGATAATCATTCATGTGGCTTTCCAGGCTGGATTCATGCGCATGATCCAGGAGGCTGATAAGGCACCAAACCGCATAGCATGTAAACCCTTGTGTAAGAGCATCATCAGCATGATCGGAGAAGCGTCCCCATAGATACTCCCAGACAAATGACTAGCATTGCAAGACATCGCTAGACTGATGCATAACATCGTTTGACAACGTAACCCAGTTAGTAAGACAATTTGTAACCGTTCGTTATGGCCGCAGTGCTCCGTCTCCCTTGACGTTATACACATCAAGCTCAACGTGGTCAGCTCAAGACATCCACTTCCAAGTCACCACTATTGCCTAGCAGGCTGGACAGTACCTGGGATCCGGGGATTAGCATGCCGTCATCCATATGCAGGGGCAGGAGTTGAGTTCCGGGACTCCTTCACTTACCGTCGCCACTCAACGTGGTCGAAGCCAGGTAGAGACCGTTCATCCCACCCTCCTGGGGACCAGCGGTGGTGGTGGGGTAAAACTTGCGTTCGGTATCGACGTGAGCGTGGATAGGCTCCTGGCCGGACGCCATGGTCTGGGGGAAGACGGGATTGATGTAACCGTCGGACGCTCCGGGCTGAAACATCGAAGTCCAGTCAATTTCGCCAGCGTGATTGGGAGGTCCAGGCATGACAGGACGTTTAGGGTCTTGAACAACCGGGGGCTTTACCTGCTCAATAGGAGGACGATCAACATTCAGCTGCTGGCCATTTGCATCTGCGCCAGGCTGCACCATGTATGGGTTCTGCTTGGGAGCAGCAAGCCAAGGTCCACGCTGGTGGGGCTGTCCGCCGGGGAACGCGTCTTCGGGCTGACCGCGGTTCATCCCATTGACGGAAGGCATGGAGAATCCCAAAGGCTGCTGTTCCGGATATCCGGGGCGACCGGGAGCCATGCCATTGCCGTTCACGGGCGCCTCGCCATACGTAGCACCCGGCATACCGTTGGGATGCGGGACGGTCGTATTGACTTCATCCTGAACGGGTTTAACGGCGTTTTGCGCAGCTTGAGACCGCTTCAAGTGTGCCTGAGGGTGCGACAGGTGAGTCGCCCCAGTAGGGTTACCGCGGCGCAACGAGCACTTCTGGAAGTGGCGCTTGAGGATATCACTGCGAGAGAAGGTATCCTTGCAGAGCACACACATGTACGGACGGTCTCCAGTGTCTACCGAAGAAAACATAGATTAGTCATCGGAACAATTCGATCCCCGCCATGCGCTATCATATTATACAAATGGAAAGAGGGGCACTCACGTCTGAGCAAATGGCGCTTCAGATGCTTCGCATGAAGATAAGTCTTGTTACAGTGCGGGCAAGGGAACTTTCCATCCGCATCCTTGGCCGGAATAGTAGTGTTCTTCGCGGTACCATTGACACCGTTCGTGACGGGAGTCGCGCGTCCCGGAACGCTCGGCAGAATTCCGCGGCGGCCCTGCGACCCAACAACCTGTGTCCTAGGTGGTTCCTTCGCAGCATACGGGGGAGCACCGTTTGCACCTGCAACAGGGTCGGGGTTCATCCAAGGCGATCCCTTGTTATCGGAGTAGCTGAAAGCACCAGACGGAAGGCCGGAGAAGTCCGAGCGACGGTCACGCGGAGGCGCCGGCGCAATCGGCTGGGGATAAGTCTGCGCGCTGGACGCGGGAGGCAGCACGCTATGAGGCGGAGGGTAGGCTTGCGACGGCTGGGGTTGAGCCTGCGGATTGGGGTGGGACAGGAACGACGAGGGAGGCAGGCTACCCACGGTGGTGTGAGGCATGATAGGAGCCGCGGAAGACGCGTAGACATCGTGAGTAGATGCGGGATACCTCGACAGATCCGGCCGGTACGGCTGGCCCATGTAGGAGTGAGGGGCAGGGGATTGACTGTGATGAGGCTGCAGCGGGGGAAGAGTATGCGGCTGGGACACAGGGTATTGAGGCTGCATGGTGTACTGAGGCATGGGCATGCTCGAGATGGGTGTCGAGGACAAAGGCGTGGAGCCCTGGGGTAGGCTGGTGGATGGGGGCCGTGAAGGATGAGATCTGGGATCCATCTTGAACGCGGAGAGGCTTTCAAACACGGAAGGAGGGGAAGGAGGGAGGAGAAGAGAATTGGGGTAAGAGACTGGCGAAAGGAGATTTCACGATATCTCGATCATTGATCGCAGGGCGAGAAAACCTTTTCGTAGGATGTGTCTTGCGACCAAGGCAGTGCTCCGTGGATGCGAAAAGACTGCCAATGCCACCTTGTTCAAATCCTGATCGCGTTTCGCTCGCAAAATTCTCCAGTCCGGAGTTGTGTGCTCGCTTCTCTTCGATTGTGACTTCTGGTTCCTTTTTTTTTCCTTTGCTCGTTCCGACAAATGAACAATCCTCCCACCTGATGCGGAGAATTGACGATGAGATTCGCGGAAGAGGTAGGTTCGATAAGCAAATCGACGCTCAAGGATCCTCAAGGTCGACGATAGACGTGCAGGATCAAGTTCGACTCCACTGCAGAAAAGAGGTCAGGAAAGAGGTCGAGATGCTTAATCTGAATTCCCCACGGTCACCCACCAGAAACTCGAGTTGTGTGGGAACTTCTCACTATCCGCACGTTGTCAAAACAGTCAATGGTTCTGATCCACCAGGGAGGCGGCGTGTAAGTGGGTCTAACACAATCAGCAGTGCTAGAGGGAAATTTCGCTAGCCAATTTTTGCTTCGCGTCAACAATGCGCGCGAAATTGACCAGGATGACTCTGATGGGAAGATCACAACTGCCAGGGACAACGCGTATAGATGCGGAGACAGGGCGAAGGAAGAGTGAAAAGTAAGGGGGGGAGGGTAGAACAAGAGGGCAAAAAAAGAAAACGAAAAAGAATGATAAAATAAAATAGAATAAAATAAAAAAAGCTTAGGAAAATTTGTTCCAAGAGGGAACACCCAAGGTAGCCGTCCCTAGGGTAGTCACGGGAATGGAGGGAGGAGGAGGGGGGGGTGGAAGGGGGGGCGACGAACGGCGGCGGCGGCACAAAGTTAAGTGGGTGAAGGAGGGAAAAAAAAAAAAAAAAAATGTTAGGGGAAAAAAAAAATCGTCAGTATCGGAAGAGCGAAAACTGACACACTAAACTACTACTAAAGGCAAAGAAGGAAAAAAGTGGAAGAGGGAAAGAAATCACGACTAATTGAAGGTTAACTGGGGATTGGCGGTGACGATCGTAACTCTGGGAGGCGACAACCGTAAAGGATGAAGAGAAAAAAAAAATGTAAGTAAAAAAAAGAAAATATGGGATAAAAGGGAAAATGCTATTAAAAAAAAAAAAAAAAATTATAACGGAAAATATTAGTTATTTTTATGATTTTATTAGCATCGTTTTCTACTCAGTCAGCACCCAACGTTTGGGACGGTTACTGGTTGCCGTTGACCTGATTCGTGCCTCGTCCGGTTTCCGAAACCCAGTCAAGAGCCGAACAAGGTCTGCATTTTCTCTGCAAACTAGACTATCCTACTTTTGTGTTTCCTCCTGGTCGCTTTACCTTTTGGGTACAACGATGTTGAAAACGTTAACCAAGATCTGCGTGCTTCGGTAGACTTCAGCAGTGCCTTTGGCACTGGGAATTCTAAACCACGAGAAGAGGAACGGTTCTGTAAACTTTCTGCCGCCCAAGAGACGGCAAGATCGGCTCAACAATCAGAGTCTTTTCCGAAATGTAGACACCGGAAGGGTAAGGAAAGCCCTCAGCAGAGCAACCAGTCGATTTTGGTTGGCACCAGCGGCAAGCAGGGGAAAATTGTTGAAGGCGCTATTTCGATCGACGATGCTGGTTGGCTAGTTCGTTCATCGCATAATGTATTTTAATTATTCGGATTTCTTGGTCAGGCTTCCTCTGTGTCACAGATTGGTTCGGATGGGAGACACATCGGGCGTGTACCGAAAGACAGACCCCGATGTACTCGATCGTATCCTCGCCGCGGACAGCCACGGGAAAGATACCTGGCAGGAACTTGTTGTTACCGGCCTGAAAGCCTACCAATCACATCGCACCAGAGACTGCGCGGACGCAAGCGGAGAAACGCATGAACTGTTCTAGGCCAAGCGTCAAGCATAACGAAGAGTTAATTCTATTATATTTGCCTACGTAGTTATGAGAATATGGTCGAGGAAGGAATATTTTGAACTATCCAGAACGGAGTCGGACAGTTCGATGTCCGCGTCTCGATCGTTACAACCCATCGCAACGAAGACCGTAATTTTACACCTGTTGGTTTTGAACACCCCGGGAGAAGAAGGGCCAGGGCCGAACTTCAGGACTTAAGAGGACTACCAAGGCACCAGACCGGGTGGAAGGATCAAAGAAGAGTAGCAGGTACTATGTAGATACAGCAGCAACATAGCAAATCAGTTCTCCTGGTGATGAGGGGGTGGGAAGTCATGGAGGGGCGGGAGGTCTAAGACTGCATGCCCGCCGTAAGATTGAGATTCCGACAAAGCGTAAAGCCGGAGCTTTGGTCTCGAAAGCTTAGTGAATCTCGTAAGTATCCCTGTAGTTACATACTTCATAGATGCATGCCTACCGCCGGTACAAAGCAGTAAGTAACGTCCCTGTTTCGGTACATACTCGAACTACTACTAGTAGGAATTAGTTAGTGGGCAGGCAGTGCTCCGTCCGGTCGCGTTCGACTGCCCTTTTGAGCTTGGACAAATCACTGAGTCAACATATTGGCCTGGGTGCAGCAAAGTCTCTCGACGAACTCTGGGATCTCTCATCATGTTGGAGATAGAAGGGTTCTTCTACGGAGTACTACTTTGTAGTATGCTTGATGTCATGAGGCGGATGGAGTTCTGCATCCCTTCTCCGCAGTTGACAGGCCCGCTTGCTCGATATTGGCTCCTTGGGGCGCTCAGTCCTCATGGCACATCCACAATCCCACATGAGTTAGGTAGGGGCAGGAAACCTTATCAATGCGATATCTTTGTTCGAAGTGGAGTGGCATCCTGGCTTGGACCTGAGCTTCACGGCTGGGAACAATGGTAGAGTTGCCCACTCTACTCCACGGCTGTCAATCTCGATTTTAGAAGTATATACTCCATCAATACTCCATAATGTGTGACATCCGATGGGGATCCTTATGGGGCCTTCCATCCTGTACTTCCCCATTACCGGTATTTATATCAACTGCGGGTTGTCCGCAGCAGTCAGGTACCTTTCTTTAGAGTTGATAGTGGTTCACATCTTTTAAGTGTCTCTTGCCGCGGGCTACAACTCCCATGCAGCCATAGCACTATGCTACCCATTGTTTTGTATCTTTGTCTATTAATCACTTCCTACGGTCTCTATTAAGAAGTGACAGGATTTAGTCTAACGGTGGTGTCACAAGCAACGACTCAACGGCTGAGCCTGCATCTATTACTCATATCATGCGCTCGGTTTGCTTTTGCGAACTAGGGATTATTTCGGACTTGCGTAAGCTGCGATGGACGGGCTCGCGAAGCAGGGTATGGGTGTGTGCGTGCCTCCTGAGACATCCTGAGATTACAGGTTCGGCGTTCAGATCACTCAGGCTACCCTCCAAGTCTCCTGGCAATGAAAATCCCACGCCTAAGGACAAGTGATGTTCAGCGCGAAGACACACACCACCGGCAGGGCTCCGACCATTGATTGAACGCCTCAGGTATATACCGGCTGCATGGAGCTTCTAGACTGCAGGCCGCAAGCGTGGTACTTTTGCGTTTCGGGGAGTGGCAGGAAATCCGGCCAATTGGCAAGTCGAGGAGGCCACGCACCTTGTTCCATCCATGCCAGTGTGCCACCCCTAACAGCTTGATTACGCCTTGGAAATTGTGATTTCGGAGGGCCGAGTAATACCACATTTTCCAGGCGTAACCCGTGGTTCGGCGCTGCGTATCCTTGCCACTTTCGACCGGAGGTATGATGGATCATAATCAACACATTCCTGCAATCGCTGCTGGCGTTCAATCTCGAGTTCCGGAAGGGGACATCAGAGCAGCGAACAGGACGATTCGATTTTTATGGCTGTTAAGCTACAAATCATTCCTCAGATCAACGATTCTTCATCATGATGGGTCCCTCTTTTAGACTTCAAGACTGCGGCTGTTCTCCACCAGGAGATTTTCGCTGGGAGCTTCTCCCGCTTCGATTGTGGACCTTGACCTCTGGCTTAGGCGGGCGAGTGGAATCGCTGCACTTGCTTCTCCGTATTATATCCGGAGCTATCTGATCTGACCACCCGGCAGGGGTCACACAGCATGCAGCGATTCATAAACTCAGAAGAGGCTTACTGCAGTACGCAGTCCAGTATGGAGTTGTACTGTGAAAAGCGAAATTGACGATGCATGGCGGAATTGCGCGGAGGAGAGTTCCGTCAGCTTGCAAATGCGGAAGCCTATTTTGCCTTCTTTCTTTCTCAAGAGGGATAACATTAACTACATTCGGATGAGTGCCTCGCGCTCGTGGCCACGGAGCACTACGGGAGCGTGAAGGAAACATGCCGTCATACACCCCCCGTACCATCCAATACCTACCGACTATCTTACCAACCCGGTATTAGTATTACTAATGTGTGCGGAACGAAAACTAAGTAATCTTGCAATCTGCGCTCGGCTGGATGGAATTCGCACAGCTAACCTGGTATCTCCCCCATATACTAAATTCATTATTTGTCTGTCATATTGTTAGGTGTTGTCGGTCCCCATCCTCGCCTTAGCGACCGGATATATCGCTCAACCACAAATAATAATCAGCTAGACTAGCGCTTGCTCTTAAGCCGGTGGATGATGGTTCTGCAACATCTCGCCCGACTTGCCACTTACGCTGGCGTTCCAAGGAACAGGCGCCCGCAGTTCTCACGCCGGTCAGCACCACTGCGAGACGCCTTCCCGGACACGGTAAGACCAACATGATGCATCCAGTGGTAGCCTCCCGGTACTACCCTGCACCTCGCCCAATGTGGCGGTCCGATCACGGCCACCGGACTCCACCAACGAAGCCGATGGCCCGCTCATGGAAACTTCTACGGAGACACCAAGCAAGGCGGTGTGGGAGATCTCGAGAAAGACCCAGTCCACACACTGGTTTGTCGTACGAGAGAAGGCGCACTAGACGCTGTTGGTCCTTAGGCAGCGCATAGCCAGAGGTTAAACCAGGTGCTTAACGGCATGGCTCAACGAGAAATTGTCCGACCGATCGCCGCCAGTCTGCTATCGTCCTAAAGCTTGGCCTCGCTTGTGAGACACTTGCGGACTAGTTGGACCAGGGAGTACACAGTAGGTAGGCATAATGCTGTCCGCCATTCTCCGCCCACCATACTGTGTCAGGCACGAAAGGAACTATTCGGGCTTGGTATTCACTGCTACTGGGTACGGAGTTCTACCCGGCTGCAAAAGTAGCCAAGCGCCTAGTATATGTGATGTCGATTACTACTTCGTACCGACACGTACCTACATCAAATTGCGTCGAGTTCCATATATAGATCCTCCGGACACCGCCGCCCTTAACAAAAGGACTGTGTGCAGGCCCGAAAGTACATTCACCACAACAGATCGATAGAATCTCTACCGTGTACTCCGTACTATCTACGTGGCAGGGATAAGCAGGCACAAGCGCGCAGCGTGGCTGGTCCGAGTCCAATCTCTGAACAATGAAAACCAACAGGCGCCATGATAATAACATAATAGTGATATAATGCCACTAAACTCCGTACGTGGACTAGTTCAGCAGCGCTAAAGTCCTTAGCCCCTCGACGAAAAGCATCCCTACGGGTCCTACAGAGCAGAAAAGAACTCAAAACGACCGCATGCAGATCTTCCCGCCGAATCCGGGACGCTCAGAGTCGGCCGGATACTTCCTCGGCACTTTTACCCTGCCAGGGTGGTTTTTCCGGGCATGACCGGAGTAATGCCGAAGCTCAAGTCTGGATCGGCTCAGTTTCAGACCTCGCGTGCGATCCAATCACAGCGAAAATGTTGAGCGAGGCGAGAACGCCACTCACCTCATTCCACTTGATGCCAAGCGGACCGGACGCTCTTGCGATGCACATTTTGTTGGTTGTTGTTCGGTGTGTGTATTGTGTGCTGTGTGGCCTGAGCCTGAGCTGCTTAGGCTTTTCCCCTCTCCCCTCATCGCTCGCCTGTTTGAGTTAGTGACAAAGTAACTTACTCTGACTGGGAGTGTACAGAGCAGTTAGCGTTTGATCTGGATCGCATGGGTGAGGTAATCATGGTCATGTGCCTGACGCTGCGAGTCAGCCAGCCAGCCCGCTCGTCCTCTCTCCCGCTCTCCCGCCCGGAGTGCTGTCGCTTCTGCTGCCGCCGCCATCATTACTTTTTTTCTATTCGATCAGATACATCTCCAGTTACCCAGTAGGTGGCTGGGTAGATACTACACATCCTTCGAGACATCTACACCGGCTCGCTTATGTCTAAAAATTGGGACCACACAGAACAATGGCTATCAACGTACAATATCATAAGCATACTACTGCCCGAGTTGGCAGGAGTGTAAGCGCAGCTAGTAATTAGTTAATTGGGATGTTATTGCAGCTACAGGCTATCCCACACTTGACGGGCATCGTTGGCGCTTGCAACAGTTGCTCTATCTATTCGCCAGCCACCCGGACTAGGGTCATGCATAACTGGGGGGGAGGACTCGTTCGATCGAGCAATGTACCCAGTCGGACATGGGCGGCACTGACACTGGTCGTCGATCCGAAGGTAGCCATCGAACCATGGTCTTGGATCCGACTATGGGCCATGGCAACAAAACCGCATGGTCCCTGTTGAGGTCTCTGAATGATACGATGGCGGATCCTTGGGATACGGGATGTATCTACCAGGGCCGCGTCATGATGTTTCCGACTGGTTTGACGCGCATGTATGATCCGGCGAGTGTGATATGTTCAACCGTATCAAATGCTACCAGGGCAGCCGGAGTGCAATCCGGGTGGCTATGGTGAGAATGGCCTGATTAGTAGGATTAGAGTTCGTTGAGCGTAACGCCGTCACCGGAGACCACCATACAACTTTCATTTCAGATAGAGTATGTGGCTGCCTGAGGCGTGATCAGATAAACGACGAACCCCCTCTCACTAAAGCTGCAGGGGTATGTCCGCACTACGGAGCATGGAGGAGAAACTAAGGGAAAGGAGGAGGAGGAGGGGACGCTGAGGGGAAAGGGGGAGAACCTGGAGTTGAGGTATCCATGATCTACTCGATGGCCTCTCCCACCCCCGTATGGGACTAGAAAGGCGAGTCCGTCCCGCTCGTCTGTTGTCGTGTATAAGACTTTTGCCACCGGCGACAGGCCGACAAGCAGCCACGCGGACTGGGATTTCATTGTGAGACAGCCAGGTTTATCTGCCTAGTCTATATGGCAGATTATAATTTCTTCCTAGGCTGGAAAAGGACTGTTATGACTTTCCCCAATAGGCATCTTCCACGGTCTGAGACAGGAAAGAAACGGTAAAAAAATGAGAGGTAAGCTGATTTTATCCTTCCTTTAGATGTCGGTTATTATTATTACAGCATTAATTCTGTCATTATATGATTACCACCAAGGTTAACCCGCTAGCAACAGCAGCAGCAGCAGACAAGAATATCACCATCATCGGCTGCCGAGGCACAAGAGCTGATAATGCAAAAAGTAGAATAATACCGCAACAAGAGGGTCAGCCCCAGGCAATCAACCAAACTAACCCACTAAACAACTAGCGAGTTGGAGGGCCTGCCTCAGGCGGGACACCGGAATAACGGACACTAATTGCCAAGCACCACCAACCTCCCCTCTCTTCCTTCTTCCCCCTGTCAATCAATTTCCCCCCCAGCCCAAACCCACCTCAGCCCGCTACTCAATTTTACCTACTGACTACGGAGTTACCACTCGTGCTCTTCCTTTTCTCTCGGCGCTGACTTTGGGTCTCAAGCAAAGATAAAGTTACAAGCTACACCATATAGTCAATGCAAGTCCATCTCAACATGGGTTAACATCCGACGGAAGAGCATACCAGCCAAGCTGCTGAAGAATTAGCTAGACATTTGACCCAAGAATGCTCGACAAAATTTGTCGGCAGTAATTTTACACACCACTGGGACATTTTGCCGATACGATAGGCAACTACTTGCCTACTTCATAGCAGCTCTCGAAAATAAGTTGTTAAAAGTCGGTGAAGACTATCGTCTACGTATAGAAAAAAAAATATAATTAATATAATTACAAAAAAATGGAATATCATGGGCTATCAACTACTACTTACCTACCTACCTAAATAAATACCAACCAACCAAGCCAGTCTACTATGAAACTACATACAAACCAACATGTGGTTTTGAAACACATTGAATAGATACATAGACTTGACTATACAAATAGATAGATAGATAGATAAACATAATGGATACATCCCAGCCCTACTACCCACTACCTATCCATCCATCCACTCCATACATACTAGATAGACAATCTAGACACATACTACTGCAACCTGCGTAGCTGCAGGAAATTTAATGACCCCTCTGGCCCGCACGCCCGCGAAATCCCGCGTCAAAGGTTGCAGGGTAAGAGACAAAGACGGGAAGGGAAGTCATTCGTTCGATCGGGGGAGGGGAGGAGTAGTGGAGATGGATGGATGGATGAATGGATAGGGTTTTGTGGTCGCGCGGCTGGCGTGTATGTGTGTGGATCGGGTAAGTAGGTAGTACAGTAGGGATTATGCTTGCTGATGGAGTATAACTTAGGTTAAGTGGTGCTATTGCTAAGTGTGGTATGGTTTTAGGTGTGGTGTGACTAGGGAGTAGATAGATACAAAGGGGGGTAAATACTTGGATACCATGGTTGAGTGATTGTTATGGGAAGGATAATTTCGAATGGCATAGTGATGTTGAATTAATATGCTTAGGGTGGTGGAGGGAACGAGTGGTTTGTCTCTGCTGGATTCATCGGATGTGGTGGTGGTTGGAACTAAGTTATATATAGATGTTCGGGTTGAGTGGGTTTCACCTCAATATCATGATGATATACACACTGCAATTGAATCACTGGTAGTACTAGTTTTATAATAGTATACAATTGAGATCCTCTCGAGAGAATTGTTTCTATATTGCATTATTCGATCAAAAAAGACTTAGCATGTATCCCTATTACTCTTGATGTGGTTCATACTGATTTTCTTAGGGCCTAGTAGCGACATAGTAGCACCATCATTAGACGCCGCTGAAAGCTCTGCAACACTTCTACCACTAGTCCTATAGATAAATCACTCTAATGATATAATTTGGGATTTTTATTAGCTACTACTACTACTACTGCTGTTTCTCAACTGATTGGTCGGGTATAGAAAGTACTGCAGATATGGTTGATGATAAAGAGAGAGAGGGGAAACCACGAGAACTGTCTAGTCTTATTATACGAAAGAGCAAACGCATGTTCTTATAAATCACCACAGTAATGATAGCCAATATCTAGGAAGGTCAAAATTTATCATAGATTCGCAGTCAAGGGAAAGAAATCCCCTGCTGCTTTTTATCTTTCATGCATAACTCTGTCTATACTCTCCATATCTATTTGCACCCTCATTGCCCTCTCACGAGATCACAATACTGCTTTATCTTGAAATCTACATCTGGAAAAGACAGCATTCTGTTCGCGGGTTCAGCACCAAAAAGCAACCCAACACCAGAACTTGCCAACATCAACTAGATAGGTCAAACAAAACCTGAACTAGAGGAATTAACCTCCTACGACACCAAATACACCACCGACTGCACCACCACAGCAACCCCCACCACACACAAACACATCTTCCCATGCAACTCCAAACAATACAGCAACTGTCTCACACTAATCATCTCCACCACATCAAGCACATGCAACGGGCCCGGTAACCTGAAGAGGTCTTTGACGAGCCTGCCTTGCTGCTTTGGATACTCCTCACCCTCATCCTCATTCTCCTTCCATAAAACAATCTGATCATCACCATCCCCCATCTTCTTATCCCGCGCACCCTCCTCCTCCGGCAAAGGGATCAACGTCTCACAATCCCCCGGCACCAAGCTCCCCTCCACCACAACAAGCACAACATACGCCGGGAACAAAACCAGAACCTGAGCAACGAGCATAAGTCCCGCGACAAGAACATCAGATCTCACGAGGGAAGTCACATCCGTCAAGTCCTCCGGCTGCAGCAGCACACCATCGAATCGAACCGGAGCAAGGAGTAATCCCGGCACATACATCATGATCGACTCAGCAATGGCATAAAGCAGCGTCGGCAGGAGAAGAGCATTCCACCGATAATAATCGAGACCAAGAGGCACGTAGCGCATCTGCTCAGCCGGAGGGAGGATAGCTCCTGCTGTCCGGAAGAAATGGAATTCGGCGAGAGCGACGGAGGCGATGATGTGTGCGAGAGGCTCAGGGAAGCGTGCGATAGGCGATGTGAGCATACCTGTTACTATGAAGTATCTCAGGTTGTAGTAGATGGTGTAATGGAAGCCGTTGATGAGGGATATAAGTCCTTTTTCGCGGTGGAGGGTGGTGAGGGTTTGGAGAAGGTTGCGGGTGGTGGTAGTAGGCTTTGGTTGTGATTTCGTGTTGTCGTCCTTGTCCTTGTCCTTGTCCTTGTTGGGGTTGGGAGGGTTGCTATCGATGGTCTCGAGGATGAGGAGGGACATTACGAGGTTGCCGATGATGTAGCGGATCTAGATGATGGTGATGGGCACTTGTTAGGATGTGCTCGTCTTCGAGGGGTGGGCATTGGGTTTCTTACTATGAAGTCGAGGGACATTCCTAGAATGGTCAAGGTCAATTCTAGCACAGTTTGGGGTGGTTCGGTGGGACTCTCTTGGAAGAGTTCATGGGCGTTGGCGAGTAGTGGATCGTTCCTCGCGGTGTAGATGAAGGTGTTGAGGAGTTTGCGAAATGTGAATAGTAAGAGGCGTGACATGGTGAGTCTATAGATAGCGAGAAGTAGCCTAGAAGCGAGAGTCTCGAGATGCCATGTTGGATGTGGGATATAACTACTGAGGTATAAATACTTGAAGCTATATTGCTCTGTCGAAGAGTTGTCGGCATTTCCCTGCTCCTTGTTTCGTAGACTGTATAGACTATGGTAACAACCGCAAATATCTGGAGATCCTCACGGAAACCAAACTAGTTCCCTGATAGGGTCCATAAATAGGGCTGAATTCTATATGAGGCTTCTATGGCCTAAATGCGGGTGGATCCTCGCTGTGGAGAAGAGAATTGGTTGCTGATGATGAACAACGATCTTCTCCCATTGCACCACAAACAACAACAACCTTTACTCAAGGGAGTAGTGCAAGGAAAGTTTCTGTCTCCGCCGACGTAATGCTCTTACCAAAATAAAGGGTAACTGTTTCGACTGGGATACGTTCGATCGTACGAGATCAGGAGACATAATACTAATTTAGCAGTATATTGACGCAATGCCGAATTATTTACAAGACTGTATGCGGCGTCTGTGGACGACTGTAGCCAAACATTAGAACGAACGTAATCTGAACAGTGTAGTGAGGCAACTACCTCGCAGATGCCTTGCTCGACGCATCATCTTGCACTACGTCTTCATCTGCTCCCACGCCATCTATAACAGCCGCATCCGCAGCGTGAATTGTGTGCTCCACATTGACCTTTGGTCCCGTGAACCACTTGTGCGCATCCACAACCCACCAGATAGTCACCCCCAGCATTGGCGCTCCCCAGACCAGACACGTCCAATTCATCAGATCCGGTGTCAGATCAGAACCCGTGACACTGGGCAGACACAGCACGGGCACCATGAGAAGCACAAATGCCACACCCATCCCTCCAATCCAGGGCCCAAAGGGGCCCAGATGCCACGGACCTTTACGGAACCGGTGACCAACGAAGAACACCCGAATCGCGATGGGAATGGCAAAAGCGACAAACTGAGCGATGCCGCCAATGGAGAACAACGCCCCGATGGCTACATCGCCGGCTAGAACCAGCAGACACATGAGAATTCCCAGGACGCCATTGAGGATCACCGCATTGACCGGGGTTTGGGTGCGCTTGTTGACCATTTTCCAGTATTTGGATAAAGGGAAGCAGTCATCTCGTGCGTAGGCGTAGGTTACTCGTGAGGCAGCCACCATGCAGCCTTGGCCCATGGAGAAACCGCTGATGATGGTGAGGGCTAATATGGCCAGGGCAGTCTTGCGTGGCACGACCTGGAGCAAGTACGAGGCCCAGGGCTGGCCCAAGTCCGAGTTTATGACTCCATCAATGTCGGTGACAGTGTAAGCGACGACTAACTGCAAGAACCATCCCATTAAGCCACCAGCCCCTGAGGTCATTACGATCGCACGCGGCGAGGCGACATTGGCATTGGAACATTCCTCGCTTAGATGGAAGGGCGAGTCGTAGCCAGACATGGTCCAAATGACCCCGACAAAAGTCATCAGAACGGCAACACCATCGGGAAAATCGGTGAGGTTGGTGATGGTGCCCCAGACGTCCTTGGACGAGGAAAACTTGGGCTCATTCGTAGTCCCAGCAGGGATGGCGATGAGAGTAATGACGAGAGCGATGATGTTGAATGTTGAGCCCCAGGAATTGACTCGAGCCACCCATATAGTGGGCATGCTGCTGATGGCCGTATGGATCATGAGAACGAGCACCGTTAGAAGATAAACTTGCCAGTTAGTGGGGACATAGTCTGGGTTCTGTATCGACGCAGCGGCGAGGATCATTGCAGAAAGCGCGTAATCCACAGATGGTGCTGCGGTGATCTGCCCAATCCAGTTCGACCATCCTGTGATCCAAGCGGCAAAAGGTCCATACTTTGGAGGCGCAAGGACCGCTGCGGCGTAGTAAAGGCCACCACTGTCAAAGTCAGTTTTATACTCGTATAGTACGCAACTCAGGAGAATCTTACCTGGTGGGCATTGCGGAACATAGCTCAGCCATGGACATGGCAACGCATTGAATGAAAACCATCGCGATGATCCAGCCCCAGACCATACCAGCTGTACCTGCATAGCCCATTCCTTGTGAAAGTCAGCCCTACCCATCATACTGATGGATCCAGGAACAGCTACCGTAGTATATTGTGCTTGCAAATGATGGAAGCAATCCTAGCACCGAAAAGCTGACACAGAAGGTTGTCCATAGCGAGAATTCGCGTTTGAATTCTTGCTTGTACCCCAGGGCTACGATGACCCTCTCGTCCGCATCCATCGCATGATCGGTATAAGGGACGTCGCCCTGAGGCAGAATGGTCGTGACGGGGTCATGGTCGACATCCGCGAACACTGCTCCCTTGGAGACAGCCTTATGGCTGCTCGTACCGGACATTATGGATGAATCATTTATATAAAAAAAGGTGATGTGTATACAGTAAGCTGCTGCTGGGGAGTGGGAACGGCGGGGCAGGAAGTAACGTGGACGGAAGAAAAAGCAAGCAACGCAAAGATGCGGCGTTTGCTAGCTCAGACTCAAACTTTCATTTGTTCTTCTCAGACAAATGTCAAGCAGTATAAGTATGGAAGACACAGGTGGTTAGAAAATAAGTCATAGAGTGGCTGCGGGACAGACAGGGTCATGCGCCAGTACATATATGAGTGGCTTTCGGAAAATCAAGACAGCCATCTTATCTGCACAATACACGTCCCGTCCTGCAAAGTCTTAATACTGATAGCCAAACCCTTGAGTAAGATAGGTGGAATGCTGGCGTAACACGATAAACGCCTTAAGGAGCTCACGTACCTCTGAAGTTGGGTGCAAGCGAAGCGGGGATCGAGCGATGATACGCTTGGCAGCTGGTCACGATCTCACTGGATGACCGGAAGGAAAGGCCATCACTCGCAGTCAACCAGCAGGAACGAGTAGGATGACTCGCTAAAGACGAGACGAGATAGGATGCAGCTCCTTGCTGGTCAGAGACCTGAAGCTTGGCATGCACCATACTTGGCTGGGAAACTTCAGGCGCCGCGAGCGAAGACAAAACTCGAAGAACCCCTTGAACTTGACACTAAAGCAATGACCCAGAAGCTGGGGAATCCATCCACTCGGGCTTATCGGAAGCAACTGGTTGGCTATTGGGTGCTTTGACTGCCGGATGATAAGCATCGAACGAATATCAAAGTAATTCTAACGGGTCGATGATAAGACGGACGGCAGCATCTGGAGCTGGCTGAATTTATGACCTGTCAATGTAAAGAACAATTGGCTGGTATTAAACGAGTCGCTCTCCGCTGATTTGGCAGGCTATACCTGCCTTTATGAGAGTAGCGGGGTTATTTCGTTCATTTTCAGCGTCTCACCGTAGCTATAGTGTGTCTACATAGTGCGTGTTAGTCGATGGTCCCTAGACGAAGCATAAACTCCTGTATCAGCCCCCGCATACAACTTGCATGGACACCACGGGAGCCACTATTACCTTGCATTTGATACCTGTCTCCTCACTGGTCTTTCATCCAGGGAGTTCTCGCGAATGGCAGCCTCCAAATCCTTTCAAGCCACATCGTTCATACATTTTCGCGAAGGTCCATGGTGGCTTGAGGAACTGAGATTGTGACTATTCGGAGTTTATCAGCGATAGTCGACCTGAGACTGGGCTGCGTAGCACTCGAACGGTGCTGTAATGCGTTCCTGTAGTCCGGCGCCAGAGATAGAATGACTAGCCCTGAGTGGTCCAGTGGCGGAAGTCTTGAGGCTAACGTACAAACTCAGACCATAGGCCCATAATTGTGCATGTGTAGACGTAATGAATATCAAGGCTGTGGTTGGGGGGAGGAGTAAAGGAAGAAGCCTAATGTGCCTGGGACGGGAGATATGTTCGGAACCTGAGGCTACAAGGCATGCCTGTGCCCCTGGAGAGCCATTGGCAGTCTGACGTAGATACAGACAAACAGTGCGTCTTAATGTTACTGGAAAATTGAATGAAGCAGCCAGTGTCTATGTGCTATCAGAAACTCATCGCTATTCTACACGTACAGCACCCTCTTTTCTTCACCATCCATCCGCTAGGTGGCATATCCACGCTGGGTGGGTTCTTATAGATGGTCGGAAAAGCATATCCCATACGGCACCAATTTAGAAGGGCTAGACAATTGTTAGCATAGCTCTCAATCCCAATTGCTGGTGCCACTAAAGCGGTATGAGGAAAGGCACTTACGTTGTCCTCGGGAGCGATCGTGCGGTCGAAGTACTCATCGAGGAAAGGAACCTTCTGGAGGATGTCGCGGCGAACACGGGGGATCTCGCCGAAGAAGAAGAGAGCGAAGGTACCGGCGGCAACACCGAAGGTGCCAGCAATGGTAGCGCTAGATGTGCCCAACGTGTAAGCTGGCCTGCCAGGAAGCCAAAGACGAGGGGTAGTCTTGGAACCTAAGGAGGAACTTACTACTTAGTAGCCAGGCCGGTGGTGAGGCCGTGGAAGTGAAGGGGAGTGTGGTACCTATTCCACACAGTCAGTACGTCGCTACCATACACCACTTGCAGTCCTGGCTGGATTGGTGCCTCTACTAGCTGGACCTTGTGATCTCGTCAGAGGCAGGGTATGGCAGCAGTATGGATAGCTTTGCATAAGAAAACCCGCAGTACCCAGAGCTAGCAGCAGGAACCCTGCCTCATTGACCCAACCCAAGCCAGCATGGACACCTTGTGTATTCGTATGTCGACCGAAGATGGGATATCGGGGGTTCTCACTTGGGAGCGAAAGGAGAGCGGTAGGCACCGGCGCTCTGGGCGGCGGCGCGGCGGAGAGTCTGAGAGAAAACCTATCGGCGAGGAGACGAGATCAGCACTGGTTCAGTTGTGCCCAAACAGGGTTCAAGTCGCTATCATGGTAACATGGATAACGGCTCCCGACGCAGTTGAACAGTGGGCAAGCTCAAAGAACCCGACAGAACACTGGCAGGATGAAGGCCACACGAAGAAACTCTGGGGAAATACATACCATATTGACTGGGTCTATAGAAGCACGTCCGGCAACGACAATTGCTCCAGCAAAGGATGACGGCAGCTGCACTTGAAGTCTGAGGCTGTCGACGAAAACCGGGAGACTCCGCGACGTTGAGTGCTTGCGGCTTCCGATAGCCAATCAGCGACCGGCAATTGGAATTCACGTGACATTCTGATTGGTCAAATCAGAGGCCGCGCATTTCCACTGCTCATGCCATCATTTATGTCTACAATTGAAATGCGGGAGTCGAAGCATTCGGCCTCTACTGCAGCATAGCATCCGTTGGAAAGTTCATTCAGAAGACCTTATGCACACTTTTTCGTTTGCGTATGGCCAACTAGAAGACAGGGAAAGTTTTAAAAAGAATTTGTGTACAACAGTAGCGCCATATTCTAACACCATTCGGGACAAAACAACAGACAAAAGTATAAGAGTAGAATCGTCAATATGAAGAACCTAGAGATCCTGGTAAACATATAGCAACCCAGTAAACGTCCAAAATAGACACGAAATTAGGGCGTGGAAAAAGGTATAAAAGAAGTAACTGTACAATGCCCATATTATGGGATCAATCAACCTTGCCGGTCGATCCACCGTTCAGAAGACCTTCCTTTCCATCAAGGTTGAAGAAACCACCACCGGTGTTACCAGTAACCCCGAGGATTCCGCCACGAGCCCCGCGTCTGAGACTCCTTCCCCGGGCTACAATTGTAGCACCAGCCACCGAAAGCGTCAGGATGATAAAGAAGAGGATCGGGTGACCGCTGATGAAAGTCCGAGTGAAGAAGAAGACAGACTCAAAGGTACCGACTGTGGACTTGGGCGTAAGTTTCGGTGGGTTGGCGATGACCAAGGGGATGGTCTCAAGGATGGAGGTCCGGGAAGCCATGATAGAAGCTCCGCTGGAAGACGTATCCCAGTAGCGCCGGTTCTAGAAAAGAAAAGATTAGCTTCAAGTCCTAGCAGATGATTACTATTCTGTTGTAGTCACTTACATCCTGGTCATTGATAACCACGCGTTCACCGTTCTCGACGTCGATGCCGTATGTGGTTCTCAGCCACCGTTCCCAGAAATCGCCATCAATCCAAGCGAAACCGACTTGCTTCTTGTCATCTTCGCGGATGGTAATGCGCATGTTCTTGGCGGCCCGCAAGGCGCGCTGGTCGTTACGGTCTTCGGCTTCCTCGATCCGCAGCTGCTTAGCGTCACGCAGCTCAGCACGCTCCAACTGGAACAACTGCGTCTGCTTGTCCATCCACTCAAGGGCGGCATTCTTGAGCTCTCGCTTCGATTGAAGGAACTCGTCCGAGTGCTTCCGGCTCAGGATGCCAAGGACCACATACTTGCCGTCCATGATCTCCCGTGCGTTTGAGGCGGTGAGCTCAGGAACAATGGGCAGCCACACAGTGCGCATCCAATTGAGAATCTGGCGGAAGTCCCGCATATCCTTAGGAGCAAGCGCATTGTAGTAGCTGGGGCGACCGTCGCGGGACACAAGGAGGCGTGGCCAGGTCGAGATCTTGAACCGTTCCGCAAGAGCAGCACTGTTCGTCTTGACAAGCCGGGCATGGCCGACCAAACTAAGAGTCAGGCGCTCGAGAGCTTCGAAATCTTCCGAGGTGGTCGCATGATCATAGAAGTACAGGAAGATGACGTCCTCTTTCTCCTCCAACTCCTTGAAGGTGGTGGCATCGACATCCTGTACACCGGATCCAACATCAACAGCCTTCTTGGCGTAGCTGACCAAATCTCCGAGGCCACGGAGACCGGTATACTCGACCCTCTCACCGCCGCGGAAGAAATACATCGTCGGGAAGGCGCTGACACGGGCATCTTTGCAAAGTCGGGATTCCGCATCGCAGTTCACTTCGCCCACGTTGAGAACACCCTGCATCTCCTTTGCCATTTCTCTCCAGTTGGGAGCCAATGCTTGACAGTGGTGGCACCATGGTGCGTAGAACTTGATGAACCAAGGATCCTGAGTAGTGGTGACCAGCTTCTGGAAGCTCTCCGCGGTGAGAGGGACAGAGATACCCTGGGGGTTTGCTGGGGCCGGCTTAGGCTTAGGCTTGGGCTTGGACGACGTCTTGTCTGCGGGTGTCTCGTCCTCGGCCAGCTGTGCAGCCTGCTCGTTGTGCTTTTCTCCGGCCTTGGTGCCCGCCTCACGATCCTTATCTTTGGCGACGGGCGCCTCGGGCTGAGCCTGAGTATCCACTCCTTTGTCGCCAGGCTTGGGGAGGTGGAGACCCTGGGCAGGCCGCGAACCAGGCTTGATCTGTTCCAGCTTCTCCTCAACGAACTCGCTGATCCCTTCCATACTCTTCTTTCCAGTGTACTGTTCAACCAGTTCACCATTGTGGTACAGCGCGAAGGTGGGGAAGTATTTGACGTCGAGTTTCCGGCAAAGATCGCCATGCGCGAGACAGTTCATCTCGGCAAAATGGAAGTTGTAGAAGCCATGGAATGAGTTCAGCGAATCGGTGTTGGATGACTTGGAAGACGACGAGGACAAAGGATCGGAGGTCTAGTGGGACATTAGTGGATGCTGCTGGTAAGGAGCGATGTTGACTCAATGCGCGAGAGATTAACTCACGTAGTAGAATTCATAGAGCGTCTGCCATGCAGGGGCAATCTTCTGGCAGTGTGGGCAGGACGGAGAGTATTGCTTGACGAACCTAGGTTCTTGTCAGCTTTCTGGAAGACCAACGGTAGATGTAGAATGAAGAGACAACATACCAGTAGCCGTCCTTGATCGTGTCATCGAAGTTGTCGGGAGTTAAAGCCTTCATAGGCGGGACCTCAATACCATTGAAGGTAGTCGACTGGCCCTCCGACTTCACATCGGAGTCGCCTCTCTTTACGAGGTGATGGCTAGGAGAGACATTATCGGAGGGGGCGGCTAAGGCGGGAATCGAGAAAAGATAGAGTAGGGACCACGCCAGCAAAGAGACCCTCATGCTGGCTGTAGCGTAAGGTCTTTGACCTTAAAAGTGTGACTGAATAAAGAGGGACGATCGAATTTCGGGGGTCGAAGGAGTAGTGGAAGAAGTCAGGACGGGGCGTCACAGGTGGCACATTGAACTAACGACGGTCTAGAATCGCTAAGGGACACGCTTGAATGTACCCCTTGTTGGAGGGGGCGAAAGAGGTATCAGCAAGACAAATGCTGAGTAAAAAAAGAAGAAAAAGGTGAGCTAGGCTCAGAGACTACTGCGGAGGCGATCCGCAGGCTCTTTGAGAGAAAGAATGCAGGAAGAACACTCCTACAAGAGAAAGCGATAAGCCGACCAAGTGAGGTGCTCACGAGAGCCGCAGGGAGAGACTGAGGGAGAATGTCCCCCCGGCGCCACGGTTTCTCCGCGCCCCGACACGGGACCTCAACCCTTCGCGCATCGATCCCGATCCAGTGTGGTATCTTGACGACTGACAGCGCCGCTATTCCCGCTTATCGTCTGCCATTGGGTCTGTCACCACCCGACCCTTATACCCAATTACACAACCTCCAGTCATAATGAGGTCTACATTCCGGTTGCTCGCCGGTGTGAAGCCGGCTCGCTACTTGGAGCCTTTCGCTCCTACCGGCTTGACCGGCCTCGTCACTCACCCTAGCCCTCGCCCGACCTTGATCTTCCTCTACAAGTCCACCCTGGACAAGCTGAAGGCCTTCCCCGAGTCCTCCGTCTACCGCCAGTCTACCGAAGCATTGACCCGCCACCGCCTGCAGATCGTCGAGTCCACGAAGCCGCCCGGATTCGATGCTTGGTTGGAGCGTGTGAAGAAGGCCGTGGCTGAAGAGCCCGAGCGCTTTGCCTCTCTTCGCCGTCCTGACGGTACATATGCCGCCTGGCAGCGTGACGATGGTACCGACAACCCCCGTGGTCAGGAATGGGATGGAGAGAGCATCGAACCTACTACCGAGGGTCCCGCTCGTACGGCAGAGGAAGAAGCACGGTGGCACCAGGCCATTGAGGACTCTACTAAGCCCACTGCCGACTCGGACTTCTACATTGCACAGATGAAGTGGGAGAACGAGCCCGCCCTGGAGGCTGAGCAGTATGTGGCATAATCTCTGAGCTATACTACCGTTCCGTGGAGATGCTGACCAATCCTTCTAGGATCGCCGAAATTGAGAGACAGATTGGCGCTGGCCTGATTGAGGAGGTCATTGAGGTTGCTGAGGGCGAGTTGAAGGTTGTTGACGAGCTGTACAAGACTTCCGCGTAAGTTGAGCCATTGACAAGTTTCCGATGGAAGCCAGAGATGCTAACGTTGGATTAGTTGGGAGGAGCTTTCCGAGAAGCCCAGACCCGGTCAGTGGTCTTACTTTGAGCGCAAGACCGAGTAAGCATAGAATGGTTTTCTCATGAATGGAGGATCCGAAACTAGATTCCCCATCTGCTTGTAATTATTATCTTATGGTTGTGTGAAACAAAATTCGATGCCAATGCCAGGCCAATTTCTTTTTTATGGGGTTACATTCATAGAAGTAGTGATAAATTCCGTTATATCTGGTTACAAATGTCCACTTGAAGAAAAGAACCAAGGGAGCTGGTGCAAGTGATGCGTGTGATGTGTATAGTTCATTGCTTTAGTTGATGACTACTGCAATCCACCCCACAGGGTGATTGAAATGGTCGCATCTTCACACAGGAATTCCCTTTTCAGATAGTCTACATTCAGAAAGGCATCCACAAGCATCTATGTCTTGAAGTGATGCAGGGTTGATGTTTGATGCTCAGATGGAATCACAAACCGTAGGCGGTGAGCCCCATATGGCTAGCCGGTTCCAGATAGCTGGCGGGATTCCGTCTCCTTGTGGACACATCGCTGCCAGTCCCTGAACATCTTCGTTGACCTTGCTGGCCATTCCGGTCGGGGACTTTCCTTCTTTCTTTGTGCTCTCATCTACCTGCTTCTCGGGACTTCTTTGCATAGACGGGCTGGCTGTTTGAGCGGCTCGTGGCCTGGTTTCCCCTCCTTCTCTCAGGCCGTTCTCCGACGCCGCACATAGTCGCGACTCTCCTTCCCCACACAACATGAAATTGGATGTCAAGGTACGGGCTATAATGCGGGGTCTAAAGCCCTTGGTTCACTAAGAGGCCGTGGCGTGCAGAGGATATAATCTTGGGAAACAATTATACGGATGCTGACTGTTGTTGTGGCCCTAACAGAGACAGCTGTTCGCCCGCTCCGAGCGGGTGAAGGGCATTGACTTCCATCCCACAGAGCCATGGGTGAGTACTCAATCGCTGCAATCCGTCGATCAATACTAATGGCTTTCAGATCCTCACAACGTTATATAGCGGTGCGTGACGGTAGCGAGTGGAGGGAATTATCGAATGTGATGTGCTAATTCGACATAGGCCATGTATACATCTGGTCTTACGAGACTCAGGTGAGTTGTGCAGACATGGGATTGCTATGATGCACTGCTGATTGCTGAACTATCTAGTCGATTATCAAAACCTTCGAACTCACCGATGTTCCTGTACGAGCCGGTCGATTCATCGCTCGCAAGAACTGGATTGTCTGCGGTTCCGATGACTTTCAACTTCGCGTCTACAACTACAACACCTCCGAGAAGATTGCCTCGTTTGAGGCGCATCCGGATTACATTCGTTCCATCGCAGTCCACCCTACCCAGCCTTTTGTTCTTACGGCGTCTGATGATATGACGATCAAGCTCTGGGACTGGGAGAGGGGCTGGAAGTGTGTCCAGGTGTACGAGGGCCATAGCCACTACGTGATGGGGCTTGCTATCAACCCAAAGGATACGAACACCTTCGCCTCCGCTTGTTTGGACCGCACCGTCAAGATCTGGAGCCTTGGCTCGCCTCACGCCAACTTCACCCTGGAAGCCCATGAAACCAAGGGTGTCAACCATGTCGATTACTACCCTCAAGCGGATAAGCCATACCTTCTTACGACATCAGATGACAGGACTGTCAAGATCTGGGATTACACGACGAAGGCGCTCATTGCAACCCTGGAAGGACACACAAGTAACGTTTCGTTTGCCTGCTACCACCCGGAGTTGCCGGTTATCATTTCCGGATCGGAGGATGGCACTATCAAGCTCTGGCATGCGAACACATACAGGCTGGAGCAGTCGCTAAGCTATGGCTTGGAGCGTGCCTGGTGTATCGCTTACCAGCGTGGCAGACAGGGTGTTGCGATGGGTTTCGACGACGGTGCAGTAGTTGTGAAGATGGGCAGAGAGGAGCCGGCGGTTTCCATGGACGGCTCAGGAAAGATCATCTGGGCCAGGCACAACGAGGTCGTTTCCACTGTCATCAAGGGTGGTGATGCTAGCATCAAGGACGGCGCACCGCTGTCTCTTCCCACGAAGGAGCTGGGATCTTGTGAGGTCTATCCCCAGACACTGTCTCATTCCCCCAACGGCCGTTTCGTTTCGGTATGTGGTGATGGTGAGTACATCATCTACACTGCCCTTGCCTGGCGAAACAAGGCTTTTGGACAGGCCCTGGACTTCGCATGGGGCTCCAAGGACAACAGCAACGATTACGCTATCCGGGAGTCCACGACCAGCGTCAAGATCTTCAAGAACTTTAAGGAAGTCAGTGGTGGTCTGGACGTGGGCTTTCAGGCTGAGGGTCTCACCGATGGTGTGCTTCTTGGTGTTAAGGGACAAGGAGGTATTGGCATGTTCGACTGGGAGACGGGTAACTTGGTCCGCCGCATCGAAGTCGACCCCAAGGCTGTAAGTATCCACCAACGACTAAGTTAAGACGACCCTCCACTCACACCTCGAATAGGTCTACTGGTCCGAGTCCGGCGAGCTGGTGACCCTGGCTTGTGAGGATACCTTCTACGTCCTCCGCTTCTCTAGGGAGAACTACGTCAACGGTCTGAACGCCGGTGAAGCCGACGAGGATGGAGTGGAGTCCGCCTTCGAAGTTGTCACCGACATCAACGAGTCTGTCCGCACAGGTCAATGGGTTGGAGACTGCTTCATCTACACGAATTCGACGAACCGCCTGAACTACCTGGTCGGTGACCAGACCTACACCATCTCTCACTTTGACCAGGGCATGTACGTTCTGGGCTACCTGCCCCGCGATGGCAGAGTGTACCTTGCCGACAAGGACGTCAACGTCGTCTCCTTCGGTCTCTCCCTCAGCATGGTCGAGTACCAGACCGTGGTGCTGCGTGGTGATATGGACATGGCAGCTGAGCTGCTCAAGGACGTTCCCCAAGACCAGATGAACAAGGTTGCACGATTCCTCGAAGGCCAAGGCTACAAGGAAATGGCCCTTGAAGTCGCAACCGACCAAGAGCACCGGTTCGAGCTGGCACTCGGGCTCAGCAACCTCGACATCGCCCTGGAAATTGCCCGTGAAGCCAACAACGAGCACAAGTGGAAGACGGTCGGAGATGCCGCCTTGGCAGGATGGAACCTGGCCTTGGCCCAAGAATGCTTCACCAACGCCAAGGACGTCGGCTCTCTCCTCCTTCTGCACACTGCCAGCGGCAACAAGGACGGTCTCCGTCAGCTGGCTGAGCAAGCCTCGGAAGCCGGCCTCCACAACGTCGCCTTCTCAACCTTCTGGTCCCTCGGCGACGTTGACGGCTGCATCGACCTCCTGGTGCGTACCAACCGTCTGGCCGAATCCGTTCTCTTCGCACAGACCTACAAGCCTTCCCGTGCCCCTGCTCTCGTCGCACAATGGAAAGAGTCTCTCGAGGGCTCCGGCAAGACCAAGATCGCCCGTCTCATCGGTATCCCCCCGGGCTGCCCTGACCTCGCCGCGGACGATGACCTCTTCCCGGAGTGGGACGAGTACCTCCGTCTAGAGAAGGAGGGAGTTGTTCCTGAGCCCCCCTCCTCAGAGTCTCTGATCGACGTGCACGCCGACGAGGACGGCAATGCCGTGTCAGCAGGTAACGGTGAGCCCGAGGTGGAAGCTCAAGCCGAAGCCGAGGCCGAAGAGGAAGAGGACGAGGCCGAAGAAGAAACTGAGGCATGATTGACGATGGTTGTACAAGGTGGGGGAAGGATTAGGAGAGAGCGTGTGTGCGAGGCTTTTCCTTTAATTTCCGCAGGAGTGGGAAGAAGAGAAGTGAGAAGAGGAAAAATGATTTCCATGTACCGTTGACAACCCTCCTACTTACTCTTATCTAGCTTGCTTGCTCATTTTTTACATAACTTTATTCATCCTTCTAGAACTATGTTTTGTCTTTTATTTTTCTTATATCTGCTTGGTTTATCGTCATGATTCAATCTTATGTTCATCCTTTTTTCTCTTTTGTATTTGAACATTGT